AGCCTAGTGAACCAAACTGAGAGACCATTTTGAAGGCTCAGGAAACCCTTGCAGGTGTTTTGAGTTGATTAGCTGATTGGCATGTCACCATATTCTAATTTGTAGTGAATTGGTGGGGTTTTGTTAAATGTGAGCCAAAATCATCACAATTAAAAGAACCAAAGACTTAAACTACTTCAGTCTGTGTGCATTGAATTTATTTAATACACGAGTTTCACAATTTGAGTTGAATTACTGAAATAAATGAACTTTTCCACAACATTCTAATTTATTAAGATGCACCTGTATGTAGGCGGTCAATTCTCTATCTCCCTCTCTCGCTGCGTGTGTGTGAAACAAAGCGACGGCGATTCGTGCGCCTTCACACTAGAGTTTACGGTACGATAAATACAGGTGCGTTGCACATCCTTTTAGACGAACTGAAAAACAGCACAGATCGCTTGGCGGAGAGTGAAACACTGAAGGGCTCAGTCAGAGAGTGTTCGGCAAGAGAAAATATATCTGAGCTAAACTTATACTTAGCTTCCAACTCACACACTGGCGAGTAAAATCTGAGAATTTATTAGCAATTGGCTAATATTAGACATCATTTAGTCGCCCAGAGTGAAGATTTAGTCGCATATGCGAGTGATTTACTCGCAATGTAGAGGGTTGTATGCTTAGTGTTTATTATAATGTTTGTAAACATTTCACGTCGGCATTAGGCCTATTTCTTAATGAAATAATAAAATGCGCCTTATACGCGACTTGTTCCCCCCCAAAAACAAAAACAAATGTTTTATATGCGTAGCGTATTTTAACCATGCAGCAAACCTTTTTAAATATTTTGATAAATTACTGAAAAAATAAATAATTATATGACTTTTTAAAAAAACGTTTAACTGATTGTATTATTCGGTCAAAATTCTTACAGTCGGTTAACCGGCTAAACGGTTAAAATGAACATCCCTAGTTGTAAACACGTACAAATGATAAACTATCATTCTATTATGGTTGCATTTTGCAATTAATCTGCGGATCACATGCGTGCCAAACTATGGGGCTTGGTCCGTACGGATCACGGATCAACTACGATCTGTTCAACCTCTAATTTAAATAGCTTTTGTTTAACACTGTCAAGCTGTAGTCATGAAGCACAAAAGTTTGCGTGAAACTAGTGTGCAAGAAACACAAAGTATTCACAATGTTCATATATGCCTAATAGATTTCCCAGCCCAATACCTATCATACACAAAAATGTAGCGTATATCAAGATAAAAATAGATTCATGCCTACCTCATATGACCTGATAATTACATCTAAGAATGCCGAACATCACATAACAAAAGATGATTGTTCCTTGTCTTTAGGTAATTCTATTATGTAATCTGATTTTAGTTAATGCTGTGCTAAATTGCCAGTTTGTACTTATATTTCAGAACTCTGTGGATCTGTTTTCTAACTGCATATATTCGTTTGTGTTCAGAGGGTGTTCCTCAGGTGTACTACTTTGGGCCTTGTGGGAAATACAATGCCATGGTGCTGGAGCTGCTGGGCCCCAGTCTGGAGGACCTGTTTGACCTCTGCGACAGAACCTTTTCCCTCAAGACCGTCCTGATGATCGCAATTCAGCTGGTCAGTGTGATCTCTCATTCATATGAGACAAAGACGTAAAAAAAAAAGATTGGTTCCAACATATAGCCTACATCTATCACAGATCACTCGGATGGAGTATGTGCACACAAGAAGTCTGATCTACAGGGATGTTAAGCCCGAGAACTTTTTGGTGGGTCGGCCAGGGACCAAGAGGCAACATACGATCCACATCATCGACTTTGGGCTTGCCAAAGAATACATCGACCCTGAGACCAAAAAACACATCCCTTACAGGGAGCACAAGAGCTTAACAGGGACCGCTCGCTACATGAGCATCAACACACACCTGGGGAAGGGTAAGAGCCACACACAGAAAGTGTGGAAAGATTCGCTCTGTTAGGGCTTAGGAAGGGCTATTAGAATTTCATGGGGGATAAAGACTAAAGTACACCTTAAATCCTAGCTTAGCTGTTAGTGACACAAATCTCTACATACTCAGCCACAGAACTTAGATTTAATCATGCATTGGTGAGATGCAGGTGCTCTTTTTGGCTCAGGATTTTGCACTGGTTTAGATTTTTATGCTAAATGCATACAATCATTTTGTGCAGTGAATTAAGACTCGTGACTGACTGATTCTAGTGGTTTCATAATTTTGCATGTCTTTTTATCTTGCAGAGCAAAGCAGGCGGGACGATTTGGAGGCGCTGGGTCATATGTTTATGTACTTTCTACGAGGCAGTCTGCCCTGGCAAGGTTTAAAGGTATTGTTGTAGGTGGTTTGCTGCCTTCATGCATTTTGATTTAGGAGTTAGTTTTTTCGAAAACAAATATTAACTGTGAAAATGATACCGTTTTAGAAAAATGCAGTTTGTTTTATTCTGTTAACATTTATTTGAATATCTTAAAGCACAGCTTATGGTATATATGGGAGATTGTCAGGTCTGTAAATAAACATTGAGACTCCAAATAAGGTAAAATAAAAATCTATAGCTAGAGTTTCCCCTCCATTCAATTGTCTCATTCTCTTAACTGTGTTTTGATGCTATCTTTCAGGTTTTAGAGTCTTATCTCACTCAGCTAAGGTCTGAAACAGTAATGAGCCCCACTATCTGTCACTATCATGGAAAGTCAGCAGAATAACCAATAGCTATACAGCCTTGATAAGCTGACCTATTTAGAAGACTAAAAAGAAACCGATCTTTAAAAATGTTTTTTCTGGTTTATAGGAGGAAAGAAAAGACTGAAATCCTTGTATCTTTCCTGTTGAATGAAACATACTAATCATTAGGGGTGGGGGAAAAAATCGATACAGCATAGTATCGTGATATTTTCCGTGGCAATACTGTATTGATACACGGACGCCAAGTATCGATCTTTTATTATACTGTTTGGTAGAATAATTAAATCAATTTCTTTATAATCCACTAGATGGTGGTGTTGAGTTTTTTTCTGGTGAGGTCAGCTGGGTCACCTTCAGCATGCAGTAAGTTAGTAAAATAAAGAGGGCGGCATCTCGGAAAGTTATCAGGAAAGCCCCACTTACTTCGGATTTGTAAACAAGGAGGGGATGCAAGTAGGGATGCACCGAAAATATAGGCTACATATAATAATAATAATAATAATAATAATATATATATATATATATCGGTTATGTTTGGGCCCCATACCTATACTACAAATGCCCTCAACTAGAACATTATTAAGGAGTAACACAAAATACACAAAAATGTAAATATGCTTTCAGGTTCATATACTGTTTACAATTAATAGGCAACATGTCTAGTAAAAGTTTAGATGTAATATTAAATAGTCATTATAATACAATAAACAGGATGTGATCTCTCAGTTGAGAGATCAAAACCCTGAAATAACACTGAGCAGAAAAAAACAAAGAGATGTATTATGAAAATGTATTGTCATATCGGAGTCCTTTTATGTCAGATTCTTAAATTTAATAAATTCAATCTGAATAAAAAAACATGTTGGCTATTAACAATTAAATTAAATCACTATAAACAAAATCCATAGACGGTTTTTGCACAAGATTTTAAATACAAAATTTTAATGTAGAAATATTAAATGATTGCAAAAATGAAATGAGCTACTTTTTAAAATATGAAACTACTACTGGCAGCAAGTGACTGTCTTAATGAGTGAGTTGAATCCTTAAATCAACCGATTTGTTTAAAATGCTAATTCATTTAACTTAGCAAGCGACTGTACTTATAGCCTGTTTGAACCATTTACTGGTCCGTGTAATGCTGAGAAACAAAACACTGTGTTGCTCGGAGATGCATTGATGGGGCAAAACAGAATTTTGTGTCTGAAAGTTACTCAGTATCTTGTTGTTTATTGTACATTTGCCATCGTGCAGATATTCGGAAAAACAGGACTCTAGTTTGTGTGATAGGCTAACTCCTATATCGTAGACATTCATTAAATGCAGGGTTCGTTCAACCAATAAATTTCAATGACTTTTAAGGCAATATTTATGACCTAATGCTCCATTATTTTACACAAATGTTCAGATTTATCATAGCATATGCTAAGGAAAATTTAAGATTATTAATACTATTTGTTTGCTTTCTAATAAGCACAAGCTTATTACTTATGCCTGAGGTTACTTCAGGCATGAAGTAACGTCTGTGCAGAGAACATAAGTTAGGCTACATAATCACATAACTGAAAGCCAGAATGTTAAGTATATTGTAATTTGCTTAGCCAGTATTATAAATTAAACTCAGGACTTGAATTTCGTTTTAGAAACAGTTTTGGTGGAAAACATTCAGGTACAGAAATGGATTAAACTGTAAATTAAAAACATTAAATTCACTGTAAATTAAACAACAGATTAATTCTTAAAATTAAAGTTACAAAAGTTATTCAGTCAAGAGCAGTGAGTGATTTTGTCTTTTGTTGTTAAGATTAATTAACAATAACCAATAGGCCTAATTAATTAACATTGTTAACATTAACATTTGGTATGAAAGTGACAGCAGCTTTTAGTATACCTGCTGTCTGTCAGTCTGTGTTAAAGAACAAAAGAAAAAAATCACTCTGCTCAAATCTGCTCTTGACTAAATAACTTTTTCATATTTAATATGGATTAATATATAAATATAATCTATATCTATGACTTTATACATCAGAGTATTTTGTTCCTGAATAGTAGAAGCTACTGTTAGTTTTAGGCTAGTCTACCTGAAAAAGTTCAAACACAATTTGTTTCATTTGTATCCTTGTGCTATTGCTAGTAACTTGTTCATTAATTACTGACCGTTTAATTGTCTTTGTAACATTATTTATTAAAATGCAAGGTTACTTGGGTCAGAAACAATGAAAACATTTTTAAAAATAATAAATAAAAAACTTTTTCTTGAGGTGTTTGTGAGGCTTCATGTGCGGGCGCTTTGGATGTGACCGTGAGCGCCCAGAAAACTAGTTTGGAGCACGCCAGTACCGACTGGTTTAAAAATACTTAAAAAGACGTGCAAATAATAAACTTTTGTGATGATGCAACACTGACCCGATTAGGCAAGTGACAGTCCTGTCAGCTGAGCAAAAGTCTTGTATGGCAGTGTGCAGCAGCTCTCAGTGCAGACGAGATGTGCTGATGTGAGGCAATTTTGAGAGAGTGAGAGCCAGAAGACGCGGTACAGCTGAACCACTCACGCGGTTTACAAATGATTGACTTAATCTGATATTCTGTGAATTTTTTTAACTCCTCTAACCTACATTGTATATTAAATAAATGTATGCGGGAATTTTCCAAATGTGCGAAACCTGCGAAAATGAGTAAAACCAAAATGCGCAACCCGCACCGAGATTCAGGACGTGATTAAACATATATTCTATTATATAGAGATTTGTAAAATAAATTTCCACGACTTTTCCAAAGCTTTCTGGGTTTTTCATGACCGTACGAACCCTATAAATGGCTATTTTTATATATTTTTAAATCGTTTTATACATTTCTGCTCCACTTTGTGTGGAGGTAGTGAGACGGGACAAAGTTCCTGTAAAATATTAGGGTATTCTATAGTCTTTGGACGGGAGAGAGCGCTCACAACTCTTCAGATTAATTTAGTGGAACATTAATATAATATAGAATCATCCTCTGTAAAGAAGTGAGGCGTGAACGTGAGAATTTATCATTATCTTTGTAAATGTGCGCTCTTTTGGGCTAAAGGCCTAATGGAACCATTTAAAGTAGCCATGTGATCACAAATCGATTTAATACGTGTGTCCTTTTTCTATGAGAAAAAAAAATCAATTCTAGTTTATAAATGCTGTTTGATTATGGGTTCGAATGTTGTAGTTGGAAGCTGGAAGCTGTTAGCCCCGGCTGGCCCGTGTGCGCAGTTGAAATGCGGCTAATAATTTCTGACTGGCACATAACTGAACAAATGTAAACGGGTTAAGGCGGGGCCCCTGGGCTGCAGCCCATTCAAGCCCAGTGGTAAGTCCGGCCATGAGGACTATACATTATTTGGATAATTAGTCAAAAAAAAAAAAAACTTATATCTGATTCTGTTACATAGAAGTGAATAAAAATAATTTATTGATATTTAATATTAAGGTAACACTTTTCAATAAGGTTCCATTAGTTAATGTTAGTTAATGTATTACATTACAGAACAATACATTTATTAAAGTATTTATTAATCTTTCTTAATGTTAGTTAATGAGAATACAGTTATTCACTGTTAGTTCATGTTAATTCAGAGTGCATTAACTTAACGAGCACAACTGTTGATTTTAATAATGCATTAGTAAATGTTGAAATTAGCATGAACTAAGATTAGTAAATGCTGAAGAACTATTGTTCATTCTTAGTTCATTAAAGGGGTCATATGATGTTGCTAAAAAGAACATTATTTTGTGTATTTGGTGTAATGAAATGTGTTTATGCGGTTTAAGGTTAAAAAAACACATTATTTTCCACATACTGTACATTATTGTTTCTCCTCTATGCCCC